AGCTACTAAGAATAGATGACAAGATTAAGTCAACACTAAACTCATTATTTATCACAAATCCTAATTGTTCCAATTTCTCAATCCAATTTATTATTTTTAACTCATAAGCTATCACAAATCCTAATTGGCCAAATTGCACCATCCAATTGATCATCTTTAGACAATGCACTTTGACCGAAGTGCTTTCAAACATCATTGTTAGACATCATTGTTCAAAATAATTCCTTAGAAATCTCAAACCTTTCAGTCCACTTATATTTGTCAAACAATTCATTTAAGGTGTAGAATAATTGTCAGAGTATCCATATTTTCATATTACTTTTACAACTTTAGGATCATACTAGTCATCATGATGTATGTGGCTTAATCAACATGATTTTTATGGGTTTTATAAACCTGCCACACTATATCATTAGCACTAGCATTTGGTTTTGATGGAATCGATTTATTAAAAACATAAAGCATTTTCTTTTGCCTTGGTACAAGTCAAATTATGGTACCAATAATTGAAGTTAGGCCTTATGAGCTTGTTAGCATCAAGTATGGTACGAAGTGACAAGTTATTACTCATCTTTTACAACCTATAAAATATGAACAAGTATCAGTCATATTGCTCAATACTAATATAGATAAGGTCTAAATCTATATATTGATTGCTATTTTAATCAAATTAATAGCTTTCACTATCAATTTAGAAAAATCTTATTTTTCTAATGAGCTACTATCCCATTTTGCTTACCATAACCTTGAATATAGTACAACAAGCCCTGGCAAGTAAATTAGGTAAATAACTTACTTATCAATTACATCCCATGTGACTCCTAGATCGATTAGGTGAAAACTCTTTATCTAATCATATCTTATGTGATTTGCCCAATTATTGCTTCTAACATTATACGGTCAAATTTTTTACATCCGGGCAATATGATGTCAATTAAGTAAGAACCATCAAAACATAATCTTATTTTGAATAATAAGTGCCTTGAATATGTCTCAACAAGCCCCACTACTAAAAAGTTTTAATTGTTTATATTAATAGAAGGCATCAAGACTTAATATTTTCACAAGGGATTTTTAATTCATTATAGGTCTCATATAGCATGCATGAGAATTCATTGCATATCCAATACATGTAATCTCATCATGTATTTCACGATTATACATGGCATTTATCATACACAAATTTTAACATGTATAATAACAAATCAATATAGCATACATAGTATTTATCTTATAACTAGCATGCATATTACAAAATCATCATGTTTGGTTCAAATTCATGATCTTACACATCTATTCTTTGAATCAATATCAATATCACATATCAAACATCAATCCAACTCAATGTGATGCAAGGCATAAACCTATTTAGCTAGGTGGCTGAATATAGCCAACTTATTTCTTAGAAATTTATGATTTGTAATCATAATTTCCCAAACAATTAAAGAATTATAATTTTACTTGGTGTAGACAACCTATTTTGTCTGAGGCTTTAAATTGAATGATCTTGTTTGGGTTGAAGTCTATTTGGATTATTGGGCCTTTGAAATGTTATTAGGTTTTTCATATTTTGAATGAATCTATCCAATTGGTATTTGGGCTTAAAGCCCAGCAAATAGTTTTTTATTTTGGTTAGGCTATGAGCCCAGCAAGCGGTTTTCATGGTTTTTTATTTGTATTCGGGCCTTGGTCAAGCAAGAGTTTTACCAATAGTTTTTTTTTATTACTATATAAACACAAAAAAAAGGGGAAAGGAAAGAAAATAAAAAATTTTGTTCTAGTTCGTGGGATTCAACTCCAGAAATATAGCTTGAGCAAAATTGGAAACTAAATGGCATAAATTGTTGACATAAAATAAAAGCAAAAATCAAAAGCATGATCGAATTTGTTGGTTATAGATCCAATTTCAATCATTCAAGGAAAATTCTTAAAATTATTGTCCAAAGTTCTATATAAATCGCGTTTCAATACACAAAAACTATAGGAAGAAATTAAATAAAAAATATTAGAGGTTTTGGATTCGTTTTGGGTTTTCTTGGCTTTTCTTTTTTTCAACTTGTTTTTTCTAGGATTGCAAGGAATTTTTAGATTGTGATGTTAGGTTGTTTCTTAGGTTTTCTTAGGTTTTGCTGAGTTTTCTAGGTTTTATGAATTTTTTGGTTGAAGTTTTCCGATAGGCATTAAATTTTTTAATGAGATTTTTCATTTCTCAACTATTAGATTATCCTTTAGAGAGAGAAGCTGTGAAAATAAAAAAGGTAGAGAGAGTGGAGGCCTGAAAACTAAAAAAAAAAAGATTTCTTTTTTGTTTTTAAAGCCTATCAAAACGCATCATTTTGTTTAACTAAAGATCCATGTGTTTTTTAAAAGGTGACCTATTCTGACCTGTATCTTCTTTTACCCTGAGTTGAGCCTGATCCCAATCGAGTGCCAAGCCATCCAAGCCAATTTATGCCAACAACTGTGCTTCCTCAGCCGCCAAGCCAAACCAACTTCAAGTGTTTTGTTTTATTTTTATTTTATATGCTTAGTTTTTTTACATGTTTTATTTATTTATGCATTTATTTATTTATCTACTTAATTTTAAATATTTTTATAAAAAATATTTAAATAAAAAAATCTTATCAATAAATTGGAGGGATATCATTTTATTTTCAAAAATGGGTTTTACCAACAAATTGAAAAACTTTATAAATTTAAAAAAAATTAAAATAATAATAATAATTTTTTTTTTAAAAAAAAAAAGCCTTACCAATAGATTGGAAGGTCAATGTTTTATTTTCAAAATAGAGTTTTACCAACATTTTAGAAAAGCCTTATAATTTTTGACAAAAAATCAAGTTTGAAAAAAAATAAAATAGTATTTTCTTTTTTTTCCTACCAACATATTAGAAAGTAATTTTCGATAAAAAATTTTACCAACATATTAAAGTATATTTCTGATTATAAATCAGGTTTATAGAAATTTACTTCTATAAGTAAAATTAAATGAATCCGACGATGGAGTCTCTTCAAAGCGTAACAAATAGTTTTCTTGAATACTCATGATGTGAAAAAATATTCTTAAATTATTATCAACATATTGGAGTAATTTAAGAAAAATTTTTAATATTAAAATTATTTGGTAAATTATAAATGTGTTTTAAGGCTTGAATAACTTGAAATCAAATTTATACCATATTTTAGATAGGCACTGTAAGGTGTTACAACCTTCCTCACACGTAATTGTTTCATGGACTAAAATATACTATTTAAAGATACATAAGTTAATCTTAAGACTCCTCTTTAAATGAAATAGATCAATCAAGTGATTAATCGCACTTAAACAAAAAAGATTTGTGGTGACTCTTAAAGTCTATATCTAGCAATAGGTCAACGGATTTATATGTTATGATATTTAGATTTTAATATAACATTATTAACATCACTCTAAACCATTTAGGAATGCCAATCAATTAAAATAAAGTAAAAAATATATGCATTGAGAATTTCCTAATTCAACTAGGTGTTGTAGTGAAGTAATCTTTTTTTTTAATTCAAATTCATGATCTTACACATTTATTCTTTGAAATCAATATCAATATCATATATCAAATATTAATCTAACTCAATGTGATGTAAGCCATAGATATGTTTAGCTAGGTGATTGAATGTCCAACTTATTTCTTAAAAATTTGTAATTTGCAATCATAATTTCTCAAATAATTAAAGAATTATAATTCTTCTTAGATTTTAATACAACATGGTTAATATCACTCTAAACTATTTAGAAATGCCAATCAATTAAAATCAAGCCAAAATACATGCATTGAGAATTTTTTAGTTCAATTAGGTGTTTTATTTAAGTAATCTCTTGTTAATTAGTAGTTCTAAATAATTTAAAAAGTCCAATTCAATTTGAATTTTTATATAAAATCTTATTTTTCAAACCTGAACCATTTAAGAATCCAAATTCAATAAGGATCAAAGTCAAACTAGGGCTTGTCTGAATCTTATTCAAAATAAGAAAGTATTATGTGCCTAGGATTATATGATGAAAACTTAGTAGTTTTGCCCTTGGTTGCTATACCGCCTCTACTAGGCCATTATCCAAGAGTTCTAAACTCTTTCCTATACTTTCTTATCCTTTTGGTCATGATTCTTTAATTATAAATAATAATTATTTTAATTTTTACAAAAACAATCTACTATACTTGGTGATAAAAAAAAACAAAATTTAAAACTAGGTGAACAAGTTTTTTAATATTTCCAATATTAATTACCATATTGATTTTCATTAAAATTTTAGTGAACAAGTTTTAAAGTCTATTAACATTTAGGAATAACAGTTGCATAAAAAACTAATTACCATAATCATATCAAGTTTTTATACATCATATGCATATTATATATGCTCAATTGTCATTGATAAAGTTTTAGGCTGAACTTGTCATTCACTTTTGAATGAGCAAATTAATTAAAAAAAATTCAGCTCTATATAACAATGTAGGTCTTAAAGTTATTTTATACAATTTCGTTTTTAGTTTAAAATATATGTTGCGATCACATAACACACTTGATGCACTTTGTAATCTCCTTCATTTTATTTGAATCTTATGATTATATCTTTTTTTATCACAGCATCACTCTCAATAATTGATCCAAAATACTTTTCCAACTTTCCTATTCGACTTAAATTTTATGATTTACATTCTTTTCTATCTCAATATTATTTTAAATAATTAATTAAAAATATAAAAAATAATTACCTTTTAATACTTTTTCACTATTTAACTTAATCACATTAATATTCATTTCTCTATAACTATTAAATTTATATTTTATATATTCAATTTTAAACCTATTCATTTTAAAATTTTAAAGCATCACCATCTCCTTTCATAATTCTAATTGCATAATAAAATCAATAAATAAAATATACTATTGTATCTTATCTTATCTTAAATATATCCGATAAGCACATGCATAACTATTTAACGAAAATCTCAATCGTAAAAAGAATATAGGTACTTCTAATATTGAAACTAATGTATGGAAACTAAATCTGTATTTCACGTAAAGTACATGGGACTAATGGTATAATTTTGCATTGATAATTTTATCAGATCTTGGTACTCTACGCTTGAACCCCATAAGTCACCTGCTTTCCCTTCCAATATAAAAATTCTTTCATTCCATAATCCCAATTGCCAAGAAACAAAAAAAAAAAAAAAAAAAAAGCCGAAATCCAAACCCTAAAAGCCGGCGCCAATGTCGAAGCGGAGCCACCTTCACTTGACGGATCTCAGTTGCATCGCCTGCGAAGACTTGACCGAGTTCGGCGCTGGCAAGGAAGGCTGGCTAGCTCCCGATGCCAGCACCACTATCCTCTGCGCTCTCGACGCCCATTCTCTCGCAATCGCCAACCGATCTCTTATTCTCATCCTCGGATGGTCCGACCCTGATGAACCTCGGGTCAAGATCCGACCCGAACTGTCACCTATCGAGGCCGAGCACATTACGGCCATCGAGTGGCTGGTTTTCGAGGAGATGAAAGTGATTGCAGTTGGGACCTCTCGAGGGTTTCTCTTGGTTTACTCTTTGCGTGGTGATTTGATTCATAGACAGGTAATATTTCTTTTTAATTTTTGATTTTCTTTTGAGTTTCGGTTTGTTTGTTATTGCCATTTGCTTTAGAGGTTGGTTTAAAGCAAAATTATGTAATTGGATTAAATGAACAATGACTTGGGTTTTGTTTCTGGAAGCAAGTACTAGAAGCCACAACAAAATTTATTGAATGTTGGGTTTATTTATGTGTTTATTTTTAGAATTTTTTTATGCTTTGCTAACTTCAATAAGACATGTTTATTTTACCTTTTGCCATTGTAGACAACTTTTTGCTGAATGCCATGGTTGATGTGGTAGAATGCAAAAATTTACTTGGCTCTTATGTCTTCTGTCTTGTTCTAAAAATTTTAACTTCAGTGGATGATACAGTTGAAGAAATTGCGAAGTGCAATGAACATATTAGTGTTTCTGTAGATTTTCATGTAAACTTAACTTTTTCTGTGTTTTTTAACCGAAGAGTTGCATTAAGTCTTCTTGTGTCAACATCCGTTGGATCTAATGTTAAGTCAGTTATAGTTAAATTGTTGTTGGAATGTAAAACTCATTAGTTTAATATTTGATTGCAGATGGTACATACAGGACGCATCTTAAAGTTAAGAGTTCACGGAGCTAAGAAAGATCTGATGCAAGATATATTGTCAGAGGAGGTCTGTGTTGTCATACCTGGGGTAATTGCTCGTTTTGATGGGACTGATATTCAGGCAAGTTATTTTGCTTCTATATGTGTAATAGTTATTCTAGAACATGGCAAGAATCCTGCCTTCGCTGTTTATCTGATGCAGAAGCAAAACATTAGAAATATGTATATGTTTGACATGTTTGACTAACTTAGATGACTCTCCTCTGGTGATATAGAGCCTGCTTCAAAGGTGGTTTCAAGAAACACATTCTCGTTTTTGGGATCAGAAACCAAAGAAAGATTCTGAGGATATGGGAAACTCCTATGGGAGATTACCTTACCAGTTATGGAATGTTAATAAGTATGGGTCATGTGTTGATGCAGCAATCACTGGCATAATGCCTCCTCCTCTCATGGAACTCCAGGTGATTTTTAATGTTGCTTAATCTTACTTGCTGGTGCTAACTGTGAAATTATATATTATTCTATCCTTAATTACTGGTCATCTGATCATCAAAATGTACATAGGAAAAACTGGTTTTGCTGGTTCAGTTTTCACTTCTTGCTCCTTATGGTACATTTTTTATTTATGATTTTGGAAGTTTCTCCAAAGAATTATGGAATCTTTCTGAAGTTATTCTGGTATTTGAATTCAGCTTCTTTTATTGTTGGGCAGTCAAGTCAACGTTACTATTGTGCAGTCACTATTGGAGATGATGCTGTTATCTCAGCTTTCAGGTTAGTTTCTTTGCATTTTGAAATATAATATGGTTTATCTTTCCTTACAAAAATGGATTCTTTTGTGGGTATTTTCTCCCTTTTTCCTTTCTGTTGATTTTTTATTGATCAATTTTTTTTTTAATTATGTTGAAGACTTTCTGAAGATAGGAACCGTTCCTTGGTAGGAGCTATTTTGTCAAAAGTTGTGCCTGCGACATTTTCCACAATCGCTTCTTTTTCTAAAATGATATGGCGGAGTGAACAAACATCAAACAGGAAGTCAGAAGAGAAGCCTCAATCTTTTGCTCGAGGTGAAGTTTGTTAAATTTGTATCGTAGTCCTCATTTTGTTCTGGTATTATCTTCCATGTTACTTAACTTATGTTGTGTGAATCTCTGAAAATATATGCTTTTTTAAGTCCATTGATTCTTATAATAATTCTTCAAGAAATATTTTCTTAGAATAAAATTTTAGGTGATTGAATCTGATTTATATTGGTCAGAAATGTTTAGTACTAGTGAGATCATTTAGCTGATCTTTAGTTCTCATTTATGCTTTGGTACTATCACAAGTATTTGTGGCAACAATCTTGTTTTTAAACATTTAACCTATGCTTGCATGTTTCTCTCCTTATTGTATTTTTTTGGCCTGTCTCTCCTTATCATATTTACTAAGCCTTTCATAATTTGTACTTGTCATTCTTGCGACGTGCCTATTTTTTCTGTTCAATTATTGGCTTATACCAAGCAATCTTAATGTGTTCTGATGTGAAATTAAATGTTTAAGCAAATAGGGAGAGTATTTATTAGTCAAGACAAAACTTTTCAGTTTCTATCATATTCTCAGATAAAGAATGTTAAGTTCATTATGTCTTTTGGTGTGTTCTGAACGTTAACACACATAGTTAGCATACAAATCTTAGACACTATTTTAGTTCTCCTTATTAAGGATTTTCCAAACCTATTAAATAAGTTGCTGATGTCATGATTTATACCAGCTTCTCCTTTGACATGTTTGAAGGATCATCCAAGAAAGGGTGAAAAGCTCACTTTATCACCTAGTGGCACTTTGGCTGCTATTACAGATTCACTGGGTCGTATATTGCTGTTAGATATTCAGGCACTTGTAGTAGTGCGACTATGGAAGGTTTCTTCTGCATCTATGAATTACAATTTTTTTGAAAGCAACAGCTCTTCTTTTTTTTTTTTTTTCCTTTTGTGTAAGCAGAGCTTTTCATAAATTCTTTCAGGGATATCGTGATGCAAACTGCTTTTTCATGGAGATGTTAGTCAATAGAGATGCTATAGGGTCAAGCTCCTCCTACTATGAACCGAGGAAGAGTGACTATTGCCTCTGTTTAGCCATTCATGCACCCCGAAAAGGAATTATTGAGGTGTGTTCATATTTCTTTCACTTGGTTCTTATTATTTATTTATTTGAAATTTCCACATTAAAAGTTTAAAAGTTTGAGGACTTGCAAATCTAAGATAAATAAGCTTAGAATTCAGAGTCCGTTGTGCTTGTTGTGTTAAGAACTTGAAATTTTATTTTAATATTATGGAAATTATGGCAAGAGCAGGAATAGTCACTAACATTTGTCATCATGATGGTTAAAATGCCTTACTATTTACTATTGGGTCTATATCACCTGCCTATCCATGAGTATGGGGTGCATAGGGGCTACAAACAAATCCAATGTGGACCTCCACACTATAGATAGTTATGATTGAATAATGACAGAATTTTAGTGACAATAATTGTGTGATTGGATTGATTTATTACGGTAAACTATGTCCACTCCATAAAGCAAACATCTTAATTTAATTCTTTCATGTGGATTCAATGTCACTAATTTTTCCTCTATCAGGAGATAAATTTGACAGATTTGTGGCTTTTCTATTTTAAATTGAGTTGTGTTGGAGAGTGAAAAGTAGCATACGTTCTAGATGGTTTTCTTTATGCAGCTCTTAGTACTTCATGTGGTGGAGCTCACTTTTAGCATAAAAACCTGTAATTTTTACTGTTTTGAAACTGATATGGAAGTTATACATAAATTTTTGTGTTAAATGGTTGAGTATCTGACCGTGGTTACTTGACCACATCAAGCACAGGTGTGGCAGATGAGAACTGGACCACGTCTCCTAACTGTCCAGTGTGCTAAAGGTTGCAGATTATTACAGCCAACTTACAGGTTTGGATCATCGTTGGACTCTCCTTATGTTCCTCTGGAAGTTTTTTTGTTAAATGGAGACTCTGGTCAATTGTCAGTGCTGAATCGTTTTCTTAATTAAATTTTACATAGATAAAGTTATTATTGTTGTAAATTCGTTCTCACACATCTTGTAAGGTTCATAAATGTGTGTTTGATAGAAAGAAGTGAAGATACATATGCCTTAGAATGGCCTTAATTTGATAAAGAAACTTTGGCTTCTTGGCTTTGTAAATGAAAGATAATTTTAGGCTAAAAGACAAACAAGACTTTTCACGCTTACAATTTGTGTGAAAATTATTAGGTAACAAACTTGGATTACTGAAATTAAAAGTCTTAATACTCCACCAATAAATCACATGTAAGGTGACAAGAATTTGTGTGATTTTGGAGGTTGAATGCTAGTACATGTATAAGGTCGTGGTTGAGCCGTTGAGGTGTAATTTCATGTCGGCAGTTTCATCTCTCTCGTCTATGCGAGATGTAGTGTTTAAATCCTCCTCTATAGAATGGGAGAGAGAGCAAGCTATCATGGAAAGCTTGATTTGCCATTTTTTTTCTCTATTTGTAATAGTATGAAATGACCAAATGAAGCGATCTGTCATGGTTTATGTTGTTGGAATGTACAATGTAATGCAGTTGTGTTGATACATTGATACCTCTTGGAAAGCAAGATTAGTAGGTGCCTCGTCGTATTATATTTATTACCTTGTGTGGTAAAGATGAATGAAAGATGCTAAGTTTGCTTGGACTTACCTAGAGAAAGGACGCCCAAAAGCCTTTTACCGCAAAATCAAAAAAGAAGGATGAATGAAAGATGAAAGCCTATCCTCTCTTTGCTTAAATATTTGAATCATGTTATTAAAATCGTTCTCGACGTTATTCATAGCAATCAATTATGAAGTGAATTACATTAGCGGAATCTCTATTAAGTCAAGATGGAAAAAGCATTGACGTCAAAATAACAATCAGGATTTCAATCGCAATTCGCAAAATTAGAAATATTGCTTATTTAAACATGGAAACAAACAACAATTGAATCAAATCTCAAGTTCCCATTTCCATTTTTTATTTATGCTAGAATGGTGATCCCGTTTTGTCAGAGATTTTTTAAATTTAATTTAAATAATATTTTAATAATTTACTTAAATCAATTTTGTTTTGTATGTTTTAATATATATTATATATTAATATAAATATGAATATAGTTCTTTAATTGTTAAAATTAAATATTAATAATTAATTTTTTATAATGCATAATATAAATGCATTTGTAAATATAATATATATGCAATTACAAATATTTTTTAATTATTAAATACCGATCACATGTAAAAAAAATAAATATTTTGGAGATTATTATTATGTATAACTCGTAAATTTCAACAAATTTTTTGGAGAATATTATTATTATGTATAGCCACTAAGAGTGAGTTTGGATTTCAAGGCATCATCAGTGACAGTACAATTTCTTTAAAAAAAATTGCTCCAACGTAGTTGAATAAACATCGATCATTAACTGGTCACTTTTGGTCCAATTGGTGGCCGTCCAATGTTTTTTTTTCCTTTGAATTATATCATTTTATCTCAAAATGCCCTTCAAACTTATTTTTCATTTTGATTATTGTGACATAATTTTATTAATTTAATATAATCCATCATTTTTATTATTTATTAATAAATTTTATAAATGTTAAATCATTTAAATTTTTTATTGTCTATAATTTTTAATTTAATATTTTTAATAATTATTTTTTTTATCATTACATTTTACCTCACTATCATTATTATTTTTACATTCAAATATATATTTCATCACTAATTTTAATTTTATTATAATAATAATTAATTTTACTTCTACCATTATTTTTTATTTTTATCTTATCAAAACTAATTTCACTGCTTATCCAAATAAATCTTTAATACCGTTGTAGTAATTGCAAGAATAGCAAAGTTTTTTTGTTCACCTTTTGTAATTTAATAAAAATTTAATTATTTATTTTATTTATTATTTAATTATATATCATAGATTCAATTTTATTTTTTAGAAATTCTTTATATTTTATTTGTATATTTTCGTATTTATTGATCAAGATTCTCTGAAAACTAATTCTTATATTTAAAGAATTTTGTTGAAACATTTTAAATATTTCTTATTTAAAAATTACTTCTTAAAAAATACCATTATCAATAACATTAAATTGAGCCAAAACTATTGGGCTTATCGTCAAACAACCCATCCCAATTCCTGCTCTCATGGTTTTTTTACACATCTTTTCAAACCTTAGAAGTTAAAACCATTCTTTTTTTCTTTCAACAGCTGCTTTTCGTCATCTTTCTTTCTTTGTTTTTTTTTTTTTTTTTATCCACTCTATCATTCTCTCTTTTATCCCATTTAAGATATTTTTCACACCATTTCCTATTATCTTCCTCTTCTTTATTGTTTTTCAAAATTTTTTTCTTCAATTAAAATGCCCTTTATGTACTCTCAAATTGTTTTACTTTGGATGAGATCTAAAATGAATTTTAAGAAAAATGTTTAAGATTAAGAGATATTTTCTTAAAACAATCCTTTTGGATTAAAAAAAAATTTTTTTTGTGTATCTTTTTGTTACATCATATGTTGGTTATGATTTTTAAAAAAAAATTATTCAGGAATTTAGAAGGAATTTTTGGAATTTTCAAAGCTTTTGAAAATTTTAATGTACTTTTCATAATTCTAAATACATGATTTTTTTATAGTTTCTTGGGTGCATGTTTTAGATTTTAATTTTTAGTTATGGATTGAGTATGTGTTTGTGGATTCTTTATTCTGATTATTCTTATATTACTTTTTTAGTATTTTGTAATTTTAGGTTTTTTAGATAAATATGGATTTATTGCTGTTTAATGTGAATTTGTTATAGGGGGTTTCAAAACTCCATTTTGATTTTGAATTGTGGTTATTTATTGTTGTTTAATGTGGATTTGTTGTTTTTTATAATTTTTTTAGGTTTTATAAAAAAAGAAAAAAAGTAGATATAATTTTTTCGTGATGTTTAAGGTTTTAATTATGATAGTATGATGGATTCTTGGCAAGATTTGGGTTGTGATCGATGATGGGTTTAGGTATGCAAAAGTGGTGGATGAGTTGGGTGGTCGGTGATGGTGGCGGCTTAGGTGGTGGTAGTCAATTGTAGAAGGCAAATGATTTCGATTAAAAAAGAACACATGTCAAGGGTTATAGGGTTGATAGGGTTGGTATGGCAATAGTTTATGATGGATTCTTGGCAAGATTTGGGCATTTGGGTTGTGATCGATGATGGGTTTAGGTATGCAAAAGTGGTGGATGAGTTGGGTGGTCGGTGATGGTGGCGGCTTAGGTGGTGGTAGTCAATTGTAGAAGGCAAATGATTTCGATTAAAAAAGGACACATGTCAAGGGTTATAGGGTTGATAGGGTTGGTATGGCAATAATTTGATGATTTGAATGAACAGTAAAAAATGATTTGGCAACCAATTGAGCAGCTTAATTTTGAAGAGATTACTTATATATAAATATATATATATATATATATATATATAGATTTAGAAGTAAAGGGTTTTTAGATTTTGTCAAGTATATTTTTTTTCGAATCAGTTTAAATAAATTTATTTATAGCAAATTTAGAGAATTCATAAAAAATTATCTTATAATAATTTTTTAGGTAAATTTGAACTTAAATAATAAAGAGATGAACATATATATATATATATATACATATATATATTTATCACTTGAGCCAATAATTCGTTTGTAAGTTTCACTTCCAAATTTAATCTCATAGAAAACACCCAGTTTACATGCACTGACCTCTTGCCTATCATCTAGAGTTGATTTGGAAGCAACCAAGTCCCTCATGCAAATTCCTGCAAAACGCCACAACTACTCATTTGGATGTCAATGGTGAGATTGAAGTTAAGTTGTTCATCCACTAGACCCTTTGGGTCTAGTCGCTAACCGTCCTTTTTTTTTTAATCTTTTAATCTTTTTTTTTTTGCTATTTAAATTATATTGTAGAGATAAAAATATCTCTATAATTTAATTTGTTATTTCAATTTTTTATTTTAAAATTATGAAATAATTTTTGTGATTATAATATAATAAAATATTATTTAATATATTATTATTTTTATTAATTTTTAACCATTTATTAATTTTTTACATATAATTTTTAATATGATATCTTTAATAATTATTTTTTCTTTTCTTTCACAATCATGTTTTTACATCTAAATATATATCTCATCATTAATTTTAATTTTATTATTATAATAATTAATTTCATTTTGATTATTATTTTCAATTTCACTAAAACAAATTTTATTGTTCATCCAAATTGATCTGTTAATGTGAAATTTTTAAATTTTATAATTGTAATTAAATAACTAATTCATGTGTCTTAGAATGATATATTTTATGAAAATTAATTATTAAATAAAAATTTGGTAACCATTTAATCTCACTATTGTGCCATTGTTGTATAGAAAATAATACAATTACAATTTTGTCAAGTGATCTTAATTTTCTAGCCAATATTATGCTTGAAATTAATTTACAAGCACATCCCAAAAATGATATGAAACTGTTAAGGAAAAAAAATGAATGAAAAATAGTTTACAAGAACATTTTAAAAATGATACAAATAAAGAAAAAAAAAGTTTTTTCATTAACCCGGTGTCAAATTCAACCAAGCTTAACTATTATAAATATGGTAAAATATTATTTTACTTACCATTGCATTCAAATTTTTTACGTCATTAACTCAGCGTAAGAAGAAATTAAGTTCATAAAAGAAATCAAGTTCATTTATTTAATTATTTACATATTTATAAAGCAATTCTATTTATAATAATATTTTATAAATAAATCTAGTAATTTTAAACACAACATAATAACATTATATAAAATTAATTAAAAAAGACGCTAAATCAATATGATTTAAAAAGTTAGCTAAAAAATGTAAATGGATTCGATAAAAACAAATATATATATGTATATCATAATTTACATATATTTTATATGAAATAAACATTATAATATTTTTAATTTATACATATTTGATATAAAATAAGCATGA